CCAGTGGAACTCCTAGGGAGTTCACACTGGTAGCGGAGCCCAAGGACTTCGCTCCAGAGACTGCGGACGGTCTTAGCGGAAAAGTCGGAGACCAGGGACTATGTCAACATCGACATCTGCACCAGCTGCTACACCTGAGGCGTCTGCAGGGGCAGGCGATGATCGAACGTCGCTGCCTTGGGCGGCGATTCCCAGATACGTGCCTGGGGTCACGGACACTACAGAATACGGCAAAAAGCTGAAATTCTTAGCTGAAGTTTGGCCCAAGGAGCATCTGAGCTCCCTGGCACCTCGGGTGGCATTGCTTTGCGAAGGATCGGCTTTCAAGAAGATAGCTAGATTGGATGCTGCGAAGCTAAAAGTGGCGGATACAACCGGTGTTGAGTTGATTGTCAAGACTCTGGGCGGGGCCTGGGGACAGACAATCCTTGAGGAGAAGTATGAGCAGTTCGAGAAAGCTATTTTTGGGACAGTCCAGAGGAGTGACGAAACTCACGACTCCTACCTGGCTCGGCATGACATCCACTTTGAGGAGTTGTTGGCGCAGAGTATTACCTTCGAGGAGCTTCGCTCATACGTGTTGCTTCGTCAATCCCAGTTGAGCAGCGATGACAAGAAACGTATTGTGGTTGAACATGGTGGCAAGCTTACCTACGAGAAGGTGAAATCATCAATTCGCCTACTGGGATCTCGCTTTTTTGGTGAGTTTCAAGGACAGCGTGCGAATCCTCGCACCAAGGTCTACGATGCCAACACTCTTGAGGAGTTCTATGCCGAGGAGCCCGAAAAGGCCTTCCAGGCGACCGCAACCTCTAGCACCCCAAGCCTGGATGAGAACGAAGGTGAGCTCGAGCCAGAGTTCCTCGAGGCCATGGCGGCCCAGGAGGACAGCGATGCTCTCCAAGTGCAGTCCTTTGAGGAGGAGCTCGAGGGATATTTCCAGGAGACGCCAGATCTTCAGGAGGCTTTGGTGAGCTACTTGGAGGCTCGGTCTCGCTTGCTGGCCAAGAAAAAGTCAAGAGGCTTCTGGCCGGTGGGCAGTTCGGGCAAAGGCGGCGGCAAAGGTGGCCGCGGCTTCAAAGGCGGCAAGGGCCGCGGGAAGAGCGGCCGCGAGCAACTGCTGGCCAGGATCTCTCGCAGCGTATGCCGAGCTTGCGGGGAAAAGGGCCACTGGAAAGCTGAGTGTCCGAAGTTTGGGCGTCCAGGCTCGATGGGTGGCAAAGGTGAAGCAACAACCACAGTTGCAGAGGTGCTGCAGGAAACGTATGAAGCTTCAGCCACCTCGACTTCGGGCGACAATGCCGTGCTCACGACCGTGCCTGAGGAAGCCTTCTCCTTGGAAGAGGCCTTCATTGCAGCATGCACGGTTGATCGAGATGTCGCGCTTAGGAACCTTAAGAGGGCCGTGCAAAAGATAAAAGTCCGAAACGTCCAATCCCTGCAACCAAGCCCCCACAGGCTGCCGAGCGCTGGGAAGGCCTCCTTGACTGATCCCGAAAGCCATGCAACCATGTTGGGGCCTGCTTCCCGAAAGCCTAAGCGTAGCTTCAAATGTGCTGAATCTCCTAAGGCAATGGCTCTTGTGGCCAGTGAAACGGTAAAAGCAATCCTAGATACCGGTGCAAGCTGTTGTGTCATGGGAAAGCAGCTGCTTCCAGCTTTTCTCCGTCAGCTGAGCGATGCCACACGACAGCAGGTGAAAGTTACTAGCAGCTCAGTGCGGTTTCGATTTGGTAATAACCAGACCTTAACAAGTGAGCAACGTGTGCTTTTGCCTGTTAAAGCAGGGCATCACCAGGTTTTGTGGCTGGGTGTGGAGATTGTTCCGGGTGGCACTCCATTGCTTTTCAGCAAACGTGCCATCAAACAGCTTGGAGGCATCATTGACACAACTCAGGACCGGTGCCACCTTGAGCGATTGCAGAAGAGTTTAAGCCTAACAACAGGCCCGACCGGTCTTTACATGGTAGACTTGGCCCGCTTGTGCGAGGAAAGTGACCAGGAGCAGCAGTGCCAACATGCGTGTGAAGATCGCTCACTGCCCATTCCTTGCACAACCCCACCTGTGCATGCCCAGAAATCCTTGAACCCGTGCCCTACTTCCTCCGGGTGTATAGATAGGAGTAGTGTAACCTCGTTCCCCAAGGATAAGAATTCCCCTTTTAGTGGTTTCCGTAAATACACGGTGCCTGTTAACGCGTCAGTGCAGATGCCGAAGAGCAATTCTGTGAGCCCCAGCGCTAATGTGAACAAGCTGTGTCCTGAATCAGCAGCCACAGCAACTCTCGAAGTCAATCCCCCCGCGTTCGACAAGACCTTGCCCCCTCGGTGTGACGGTCATGTCGACGACAGTCAAGTCCGATCTCGCCGATCGGTATGCTCGCCTCACCGACCCAACGGCCGGGCTCAGCATGGAACAGCTTCAAGCCATGTCCGTGCAAGAGCTGGGCGATTTCCAAGTGGATTTCGGCCGTGCCATGAAAAGCCGCAAGTACATCGATGTGGTCGAGAACGAGTCAGATTGGGTGAAGTGGATGCTGTCTCACATGACTGGCAGCGAGAAGAGATGCCATCGCATCTTCTTCCTCTTTCTGGAGAAATACACAGCCGAGGCAGAGACGATCGAAGGCGCACTCCGTGGTGGCGATCCTCCGAGCGATCGCGACCTAGACGAGCCCACAGCGCGGAACACGAAGGTCCGCCCAAAGAGCAAAGCAGCCCCTCGAAACGCCGTGGCTGCCTCCAGTTCCAGCGGTCTCGATCAGTGGGATGTCATCGCCGAGACATCCGATGCAGCCCCACCGCTCGACAATCAGGTGACGGCCATGGCAACCCGTCTCACTCAGCTGGAACATGTGATGGAGCAAGTGCTGGTTGCTTTGCAACAGATCACGCCTCCTCCAGCTCCCCAGTGAGCTGTAATCCTGAATGTGCTGTGCAAGGGGTGAAGACTCCACCACGCTTCACCATAGCTGTTGCTTCGATCGAGCTTCAGGCTAGGTCCCTAGTGCAACAAGGTGCTGAGGTTTGTGGTATTCGGAACTTTCTTAAGAAGGTACCATGGAATCGCCTCCAGGAGACTTCAACCAATCGCCGTACGGTAGTCCAAGCCTCGCCTGACAGCTCGAATAAGCCAGCTGCCTACTTGACTTTTGGGATGTACATGCATGGTGGTGTTGTAGGAGTAACCAAGTTGTCCCTGCGATACCCCTGGCTAACTCGAGCTCTCGCGAGAATGCTTGTCTTGTCCGACTCAAAACAAACATTTACTTCCATTGGTGTGTCCTGCAATAGCCAGACCTCACCCCATAGGGATAAGTATAATTCCTCTAGCGTACCGAACATGGTAGTCGCTTTCGAGGTTCCGTCCCACGGTGGGGAAGTTTGGACTGCAGTAGATGCTTTCTCTTCATCCAAGAATACGGTTTCTTTGAGCTGCGATGGTAAGAGCGTTCCGGGAATTTTGCATAGCTTGTCCCGCGGCGCTGTGTACTTGAATCCCCGAGAGTGGCATGCAACCATGGAGTGGACAGGTAATCGTTCAGTCTTGATCGGCTATGTTTTAAAACACTTTCAGAAGCTGCCCTCTCATCAGATTTCGTGGCTAAAGAGGCATGGATTTAACTTTCCCAGACGGGTGTCTTTCAGGTTCAATCAGACGGCCAGTGAAGGTTCCACAGGTTCTAAGATTGTAGCTCCCAGCGATGTGACAATGTGCAACTCTGAAGACATCTCACCGCTTGCACTTGCCGCACAGACTGCTGCTTCTGAGAGCGCTGCTGCTCTTGAAAGAGCCGAGGCTCTTCATCGTCAATCGCAGATGTTGCTGAGCTCCCTACAAGAACCAACCCTTGATCTGTTGGAGATTGGACTCCCGTCCGACAGCCGCTTAACAGCTGTAGTACTTAGCCTAGGGGGTCAAGCTAGAAGGTTTACTAGGGAAGATGGTGACCTTCGCTCCCCTGAGGGACAACAACGTCTGTGGCAGGTGGTGCAAGAGACTCAGCCCCGCCATATCTGGTTCACTCCAGAAGGCCGTCATTGGAGTGCCTGGTCATCGTTGAACGCTGCCCGAAGCAGCCAACAGCACCAAGCATATGCGCAGAGCCGATCATCTGATCAAGTCCTGTTTCAACTGTGCGTTCAGCTGTGTGACTGGCAGAAGCAACGGCATCGGGATTTCCATCTTGAGCTTCCCGGTCTCTTCCCAAAGAGCTCTGTTAGTGCACTGCAAACGATTGCCAAAGAAACCTACAAATCCAGCGTCGACATGTGTTCTTTTGGACTGCAAACTCCCCAAACGGGCAAGCCTATTAAGAAGCGGATTCTAATCCAGAGTACTTCCCAAGACCTTACAAAAAGCCTAGCGACTCATGTGTGCAATCAGATGCATGTGCACCAGACTCTGTCAGGGCGCACCCTGAAGGGACTTCCGATGTCACAATTTGCAGGCTCGTATTGTGAAGGTTTCGCGCAGCACGTTGCCCGAGTGATGCTGGCTCGACCAACTAATTCTGCACTCGCCGCCGACTCCCGAATACCCCTCACCCGTAAAAGGTTTAAGACCTCAGTAGGACCCGCGGTTCCTGTAGAGCAACCGGTCTCTCTTAAACGACCTGCTGAAGACAATGCTGAAGGAAGTCGGCGTAGTCTGCCTGTGCGTCGGTCGGAGAGCACCTTGCTCCACATGTCTGAGCTTTCCGCTGAGGTGTGGCAACCTGTGTTCGATTTGGCAGCTCGCTGTGCTCAACAAGCCAATGCCCTCATTGCACCCCAAAGCCACCTTGCTAAGGGAATCCAGGAAGCACTAGACTTGCATGGCATAGAGGTTCTACAAGCGTTTGTGGGTAAGAAAATCCGCAATCTCCAAAGTCCCCTAGGTGCTTTACCTGTAACTGTTGCCCCAGTGCGTGTGAGCCTAGGACAGCGAAGCGCCACTAATCAACTTGTGTGCCTAGGAAATGAGGATCGCTCCAACATGTCTGCAGAGCGTAAGAAGCTAAGGGTCGGGGTGCATGAAATCCTGATCACTGTGTTTGGCCGCAAACGGGGCCCACCTGCAGCAGCTGAAAGGGCCAGTCCGCCCGACGATGTCCCCGGTGGATCGGGGGAAAGCCAACCTTCGCGGCCTGATCTTGAGGGATGGGCACCGCCACCAACCCCCATACATGGCCCAGCCTTTCGTAACCTAGACAAAGCCGCCAAGAGTCAGCTAGTCCGCATCCATAACAATCTAGGCCACCCCTCACCCGAGACTCCAGCAAAGCACCTCAAGGCTGCAGGTGAAGATCCCGTCCTAGTCCAAGCAGCTTTAGATTATCAGTGCGATGCATGTCTCGAGTCCACTGAGCCCCGCCATCAACGGCCAAGTAAGCTTCCCGAAGTCTTGGAATTTAACGACTTACTCGGGGTAGATGGTTTCTTCTTCAAGGGTCGATCGGGGTACCGGTCCTATGTCCTTCATGCTCTGGACGAGGCAAGCTGTTTTCATCTGGGTCGCCGTGCCCTCTCCCGAGGCACGAAGCACGCCACCACGACGTTGGCCGAGCTCTGGTTTTCATGGGCAGGAAACCCCCGGAAGGTTTACTTAGACCCAGCAGGTGAATTCAGGTCCGAAGAAATCCTAGACCATTTTCAGAGCTTGAACATTCGCACTTTTGTTACTGCAGCAGCCTGGCAAAGGGGGAGACTAGAACGTCATGGTGACATAGTCAAAGACATGTTAACCCGCCTAGATACTCAGAGCCCTTTGGTCAATGATGAGCTGTTTGATCAAGCTTTGCTGCAAGCCTTCCAAGCCAAGAATGCCCTTGTCCGTCATCGAGGTTATGCTCCTGAGCAAATAGTCCTTGGTAAGTCTTTGAGGGTCCCCGGGAGTAATTCCTCTGACGAGGATTTAGGAGCACACTCAGTGCTGGAGGGCACAGACTTGGAAGCTGAGCTTCAGCGTCAGCGTCTCGACGTCCGATGTCGCGCTCGGCAGGTTTTCTGGGAAGCCGATAACAACCAGACCATCCGGAGAGCCCTACTTAGACGTAGTAATCCTGTCAGGGGCCCCTACAAACCTGGTGACTGGGTCTTGTATTGGATGCGTAAGGGTTCCCCAAATCGGCTTGCAGCCGGCCGCTGGCATGGACCAGCCCGTGTGATTTCCCAAGAAGGCCAATCGATCACCTGGATTTCCCATGGGACGATCATTTTAAGATGTGCCCCTGAAAACCTCCGTCCTGCAAGCTTGCGCGAGTGGCAACAATTGTCGGCCAGTGACCAAGGGGAGATCACCCGGAATGCCGGAGGTGCCAGCTCCTTCACTGCTCCCCCGCGATCTTTGGCAACAGGTGAGATCCCAGTTCCGGTTTCCATAACTGTGCCCCCGAATGGCCCACCTGTGCCTCCTGCAGATGAAGACATTGCGCAGCCTGAACAGGAGTTGACTCCTCAAGTTTCCCACAATCCTGAAGATCCCGCTGTTGTTCGTGAAGTTGAGCGCGCAGCTGGCCCTCTGCCAAGTAGTGCAGCTCCTTCCCTAATCCCGAATTCAAATCTTGATGCAACTTCCGCTCCTCCAGAGCCCACTGTTCCCGGAGATCCTGCAATGCTCGAAAGTGTTAACATACCTGTGCCAGACTCCGATGATGGTTTGATCGTCGAGGCTGGATCACCTTTCGTGCCGGAGGAAGCTCTGTGTGGAGAAACAGTACTGATGGCCAGCTCTGACAGAGACTGTGGTCTGTCAACGTTTCTCACCTTGCAGCCCGGGGACCCTAATACTTCATGTCCCCCACTCGCTGAGGATAATCTGCCCTACGTTGAGCAGCCGCTGATTTGTCATGAGCATCAGGCCTTTTGCCTGGAGATTCCTTTGAAAGCCAAGGACTTGAAAAGGTGGACTAAGGAAAAAGCCCCTGAGCAACTTTCCTACCTTGCCTCAGTAAGTAAGCGTGCACGTTCGGAGGTTAATGTAAAAGATTTAACTCCCCACGAGTTGCAACTGTTTGAAAAGGCAAAGGAAAAGGAAATCCAGTGCTGGATCCAGACGTCTGCCATCAAAGCAGTGCTTCGACGGCGCCTGAACCCCGAGCAAATCCTTCGGAGCCGTTGGATTTTAACGTGGAAGAGTCCCGAACCCGGAGAGGACCAGCGTAGAGCTAAAGCTAGGTTGGTAGTCCTAGGTTTTCAAGACCCAAAGCTAGTCGATGTCATGCGGGATGCCCCTACGTTGTCAAAGGAAGGCCGTGCCTTGGTTTTACAAACCATCTCTTCCATGAAGTATGAGCTAAGTTCTTTTGACATCAAGACTGCCTTTCTTCGTGGCAAAGCTGATGAGAACAATCCTTTAGCGATGGAACCCCCGCGAGAGCTCCGTCAAGCTCTGGGACTTCAGGAGGATGAGGTGTGCCAGTTGCTAGGCAACGCATATGGCAGGGTGGATGCCCCCTTGCTGTTCTACAAGGAGCTGTCACAACAGTTATACCAACTGGGTTTCATTCGCCATCCTCTTGAACCTTGTGTTTTCCTGTTGTACACTGGAACCGTTTTGAATGGTATTCTTGGGGTTCATGTAGATGATGGTGTTTGTGGTGGGGATGCAAAGTTTAGTCAAAAGATACAGGCCCTTCAGAGTAAGAGTAAGTTACCTTTTGGTAGTCGCAAACACCGAAACTTCGTCTTCACCGGCATTCACCTCGAGCAATTTCCAGACTACTCAATTCGAGCGTCTCAAGGAGAGTACGTAAGAAACATTCAGCAGATTGACATTGGTCGAGCCCGCCGGATGCTCCCAGAGGCAGCTGTGACTGAGGATGAACGGTCCAAACTTCGAGGTTTGATAGGATCGATGCAATATGCCGTCACCCACACAAGGCCTGACATGGCAGCCAAGTTGGGTGAGATTCAAGGTCAAGTCACCAAGGCGACCGTTCAGACCCTGCTGTCAGCCAATAAGGTATTGCGTGAGACTCAGGAGCAAGCCGAGGTATGCATCTACTTTCTACCCATAAGTCCCCAAGAGTTAACTTTCGTTTCCTTTGGTGATGCTTCCTTCGCTTCTTCGAAAAATCTCAATTCGCATCAGGGCGCCATTGTGTGCGCCACTGACAGCCGCTTAAATAAGAACGTAGAAGCCCCCTTGTCTCCGTTGGTTTGGACTTCTAAGAAGATTCCTCGGGTTGTTAGGTCCACTCTGTCGGCTGAAGCGTACGCAATGTCCAAAGCGGTGGACATGCTTGGATGGATGCGAGCGCTGTGGGGCGTTGTTCAGGTTCCCGATTTTAGCTGGCAACGCCCAGAGGAAGGTTATAAGAAGCTTAACACCGCAATCATTGTGACCGATTGCAAGTCACGTTTTGATCTTGTGACCCGTCTGGCGATGCCTGCATGCGAGGAGCACCGAACCACCTTGGAGGTGCTGTTGATCAAACAGCGATGTGCCGAAAATGCAACTTTCCGTTGGATTCCAACCACTCTTCAGGCAGCTGATTGCCTCACTAAAGCTATGGACTCCACTTTATTACGAACGGTCCTATCTCAGGGTCGGTTCAAACTCTATGATACTTCAAAGACCCTTGAGAAGGATGCCCAACGTCGTCAGGCCATTGCTTGGTTATCACAGCCTTCCCAGCTTTCTCCGTGACTTCGAGAGTTATTTCTTCCTCTCGACTCTCCCGAACGAGTCTTTCGTGACTCCCTTCATTGTACAGGCAGTCGGGATGCACTTGTCCCAATAAAATTGGGTCAGTGTGAATCCTGTCAGGATTGGCATGTGGACATGTACATCTCGACTGTGTCTCTGGGCTCAAGGACCAGAGGTGGGAGGGTCGAGGGCGTTAGGACACGCATGGTCTCTTGAGTGCTGGCTGGAAAAGGCGCAGGGCGCTCCTTCATTCGACACGTGGTCGTGCTACATTCTTTTCTACAGACGGGGTCTGTCCGTTTTATCTCTTCCTCTTCAGCTGTTCGAGTGGGATCTCAGATAGCTGTAGAGATTTCGACTACCAGTGGAACTCCTAGGGAGTTCACAACCCTAAACCCCTAAACCCAGAACCCTAAATCCAACCCCCCCCCCCCCCCCCCGGTTCAGGGTTTAGATGGGTTTAGGGCTTAGGGTTTGGGGGTAGCTTCCCTAAGCCCCGAAATAACCCCTGCAACTCCCTGAGCCACAAACCATGACAAATCCTGCAACCCCTTCGACCCCCGAGTCCTTGAGGCATAGCACCCACTCCAGTGGCCCGACCTGCTTCCCCCCAAAAACGATGCCCGGCTCTCCGTTCTCTTTCGGTTTGGGGGTTCTCGTGTTTAGGGGGCTTTCGGGGCAGGTCAAGGAGTGGGGAAGGTCATTTCGGAAGGATCGCCATAGCGCCTTGGCTTGGGGCTGTGGAGTGCAGGCCTGCAAAGCATGCTAAGCTCTCCCAGATTTCCATCTCAAAAACCTCTCCCAGATTTCCATGTCAAAAACTCAAATCTCGAGCTGCGTTTTACAAGAAGTTTGGGGGCCTTCACATGTAGAGCCCAGGGCCTCTGATGCAAAGACGGAGGGAGGAACCTGAAAGAAAAACGCAGGGGTTTAAGGTTTGGGGTTTAGGGGTTTAGGGGGCACCTGGTCAGCCATGATCCAGAGGGCATGGTATACGTTCCGGCGATCCCAGTTGCGTTCGCCCTCCACGGGAGGCCATTGAGTGGTGGGATGCCAGGACGACGGCGAGCTCAATCCTTGCAACAAGGGCCTCACGTTGATATAGGTGCGCTCCTCGGCATCTGTGAGAGCATCAGGCAGACGCCATCGTCGGTGACGGACACAAGAGGCCATCGCGAACACAGCCTGCTCAACAGTGGTCCTGAGAGTGCAAAGGACCTATTAGGCATCCTATAGGCCTAAAGAAAGAGATAAATAAATAAATAAATGCAAAAATAAATAAACAATAAATATAAATAAATATATATATATATGCATGCAAATTATGTAAGAACATGTATGACGTGATGCAAACGTAAGGTGAAAATCTTATAAATAAATAAATAAACAAATAAATAAATAAATATATATATATATATGTATGTATGTATAACAGAATTTAACACACGACATACAGTACCTAGTGTAATGCTTATGTAAATTTTACAATGTGTAACAATGTTCTGGAGATTCCTCTGCACGATTCTGGCCGAGCTTCCCGGGCGGAAAAGTGAGGTCCAAATCCCTGGAGTCTGCGAAATCTGCGACGACACTTCCTTCCCCAGGGGCATCCCGGGCGGATGCCACGAAGCGCAGGTGCAGGGAGCCGGTAGGGTTCAGCCGTGCGAGGGCTCCGCCGATCAATGCCAATACCTGCATGGGTCATTTTTTTGCATGGAGCGCGCCTGTGGATTTTTCTGTGCATTGATTGAAAAGTCCCTGCATGCTGGGCAGGGTCGGCAAAATGCGAGGCTCACATAGCTAAAAACTTCGCCTAGCGGGAATGCGCCCTAACAGACTGGTCGAATTCGTTTATTGCTGAGAGAGTCCGAGTGACAGCCACGTCCAAGGAGCAGCACCACTTCCGTCGCTCGACGACAGTCTGGAGGGTGGTCATCGTCCTGGGTCTTCACAGTTTTACAGGCGCCTTAGTAATTAGAATACGGTTTGGGGAATATTATACTATCATTCTAAAATGGAACCCTACTGTAGTTATAACAAAGAGCCCCCAAGAATAGTATAGCATTTCTGGGTAACTCAGGTGACCTAAACCCTGAACCGTTTTAGAGATTTCTGGCTTAAGATTCAGGACTGAAGGTGTGACATCGGGGGTTCAGGGGTTAAGGTATTTAGAGTTTGGTCTAGGCTGCTAGAATTTAGGACTAATATCCTGATTATAACACAGAGCCCTGAGGAACAGTACGGCTAAGTATTCAAGTCCATGGATTTGGGTTGTTCTCTAGATAAGGGCCTCTTTTTAGGTTCCCCAACATAGTACGGCACCTTTATAGAATAGCTCCTATAAGGGATCCTAAGTTAGAGAACTACCCATTTGAAGATTGAGGCTTTCAGGATGGGTTCAGTGCGCAGGGCTTCGGATTTTGAGGCCTCTAAGTTGGTCTCTGGGCTATGTTGTACGCCTCAACCCCGGTTTTTTTTGGTTTAGGGTTTAGGGTTTAGCGTTTAGCAACCTCTGAAACGAACACCCACACACGGAAACAGCGCAGAGCAAAATTCAGAATTGAGAGTTTTGAAAGCCTGCCTAAACCCCAAACCCTAAACTCTAAACCCTAGACCCTGAAGCCCTAAAGCCCTAAAACCCTAGAACCCTAAAACCCTAAACCCTAAACTCTAAACCCTAGACCCTGAAGCCCGAAAGCCCTAAAACCCTAGAACCCTAAAGCCCTAAACCCTAAACTCTAAACCCTAGACCCTGAAGCCCTAAAGCCCTAAAACCCTAGAACCCTAAAACCCTAAACCCTAAACTCTAAACCCTAGACCCTGAAGCCCACATCGAAAACAAAAGCTCGGCACTGGAACCCAAAAGCTGCTAGCAGCAAAGAAAACGGGCCTTACCAATTTTAGGATTTTTGGGGCATGTTATACTTTACTTATAAAAAAGGGTTTAGGGTTTAGGGGTTTAGGGGTTTAGGGTTTAGGTACAAAAGGAACTCCCCCAGAATAGTATTGGTAATCCTTCAGGCGCTTATATTTTTCGCGGGTTTCCTTACACCTCAACAAAAACTGTTCGTCGAATATCAGGCAGCTGCGTGTGACAAAACTATTGGTTTTGGAATGAGACATACCAGACATACCACTCGAACATTCAACCAACACAGCAAGCACCCCAAGAGGCATCAGCAGAAGACATGGACATTTATGGGGCCCTCAAGCAACCTTGCAGCATCGACGATCCATGAAACCTTTAGATATCCATGGTGGCTATAGCTCCTCCTACTCTAACCCTCTCCAGCTCCTTGCCCAAGAGATACAAAGGCCCTCAGCAGTGAAGGGCTAAAATATTTCGACCCCGAGACTTCGTTGAGGGTTTAGGGTTTAGGGGTTTAGGGGTTTAGGGGAGTTAGGGGATTTTGCGGAATTTAGGGGATTCAGGGGATTTAGGGTTTAGGGTTTATAGTGTCCAGGTGCGCTTGCTGCAGCCACACGAAATGGTCGAAGGCATCGGCACTTGCGGCCAGCAAGGCCCAGCTGCCCAAGTCGGCTTGGTGATCGCCGCCGCTTGAGCCTACCTTGACCTCAATGTGGGTAGTTCTCTAAGTAAGGGTCCCCTGTTTAGGCCCCCAATATAGTATGGCACCCTTATAAAAGGAACCCTTAAAGGGACCCTTATTTAGAGAACTGCCCATGCCAACACCGACTTTACTTGATCCCTTTTAAAGGATCCCTTAAGGGATACCGTTGGTAATTATTCCGACCTCTGTCTTCGACGTCACAATCGCATGTGGCTTCGGCATGCAGCGTTCTGGGTTTGAGGGCTGCGGGTTGACATTATCCTACTGGGCGTAGGGTTCAGGGTTTAGGGTTTGCCAGAGGCCTGAATTGCAAACAGAAACCAAATCAAGACGTTGCCCAAACAATTCACACAAACCCCAAATAAAACCACAAATCCTCAAACGCCCCCACCCCCCAAGATGGACACGAAAGCATCCAAATTCCTGACTACCTCGATGGCCCAAAGGGCTAGAGGTCTGAACTCTGGTGAGGTAGCTATGATATCCCCTCCAGTCCACAAAAGAATGCGGTGTAACAACCGCATGTCTGTATTCTAATCATTCAGGCGCTTGCCAAACCCCAACAAAGCACCTGCAATACACTTGTCACTTTGTTCCGAATATGAGCAAGACCTGTATCAAAACAGGTAAGCACAACACTGGCGAAAACAACCAAAAATGCTTAGACCACAAACCTTTCTGGACTTCTAAAAACCCGAAACCTAAAAACCGTAAACCCCTAAACCCTCAAACCCCAGCAGTTGCCATCAAGGGGCCAACGTCTCCTGCAGCCGAACTTCCTGTTTCCTAAGGCCGAAGAAAGCATCCTCTGGGGCGTCTTCGGACGGTCGGCCTTGAAAGCAAGGGTGCATAAACGTATATGTGTATATACATATATGTATGAATGAATGTATGTATGCATGTACATATATTCTCGTTTATATACCTATCTATCTATCTATCTATCTATCTACCCGCCTACCCATCTCTCGCTCTCTCTCTCTCTGTCTGTCTGTTTGTCTGTCTGTCTGTCTGTCCGTCTGTCCGTCTGTCCGTCTGTCCGTGTCTCTGTCTCTGTCTCTGTCTCCGTCTCCGTCTCTGTCTCTGTCTGTCTGTATCTGTCTGTCCCTGTCTGTCTCTGTTTGTCTGTGACTGTCTGTGCCTGTCTGTGTCTGTCTGGGTCTGTCTGTCTGCACAGTAGTTTCCTGCATCAGACATGAACTACAACGCTTCATTGTGAGGGTTGTATGGCGATGGTGATGGTGCCAGCTATTCTTTTGATGGTACTGATGATGGCGATGACGACGACAATGATGATGTTGAGCATGATGTCAAAGATGATCTGATTGTCGACTCGCGTCGCCGTCTGGAGCAGCATAACATCATGAGCGGTACCACCGGTGCCACAGCAAGAAGGAAAATAAGGAGTAACACATAAGAACTTCAAGA